CCACACCTTAGAATGTTCTGGGCCATGCTTTTTTAAGTTTTTTGTTTGTTTATAGAGTTGGACTTGGTCTAAACTACATCCAGCCAGATGTAGTGGTACAAGTCTGTAATCCCAGCACTCAGGGGGCTGAGACAGGAGGACTGCCGTGAGTTGGAGGCCAGCTTGGGCCACATAGTAAGTTCAAGGCCAGCCTGCACCAGAGACCTTGTCTCAGACAACAACAACAACAACAACAACAACAACAACACTACAAGATCTGGCATTAGTTCTAAGACAGCCCACAGCAGCACCAAGACATCTGAATTTTGGTAATTCTCAACATGAGACTCAGTCTGATGGTCAGAATATTCAACATATTTCAATTTTATTTTATGGTTCTTACTTAAAATTGGCAATATTTTATACTATTTTAAAATCACATATAGACTGAAGCAAAAAGAGCTGACTGAAGTTAATCAAATTACTACCATTCTATAATCTCAAAATATTTTTTAAAATGTCAACCTTCAATCGGATGATCCTTTATAGCTCTGATATTAAAATAACTAAACTATCACTCAGTGCCTTAATGGGAGTGACAGGTTAATAATATCACCTATTAAGACAAGGAATATGATGAAGGCAAGGAAAAGGCACCTCTTGTATGAATCAACAGAGTTGCTATTCTTTCTTGTGGTATTTTTATCCACTGTTCAGAAGCCTAAATAAACTGGGGTTGGAGAGAGTAGAAAAGGGTCATTTCATTGCCAAGCACTGGAGTTAACCACAGCAAAGTAAGATCTAGGCTAGATTTTTAAATGACAGAAGAGCTACTATATAATATTCATTCCAACAATCTGATATTCAAAATGAGATTTAAGGATTTATTTTTTTTTCTTTCTTTCCTTTTTGGTACCAGGGATGGAACTCGGTCCTTGCTCTTGCAAGGCAGGCAGTGGAACCACGGAGCTAAATCCCCAGCCCTTAAGGATTTATTTTTTTATCGATTAAAATAGCCTGAATGGACAGCTGGCTTTAAAGGTGTTGGTTCTAATCTGTAATGAAAGAAAGAAAACTCTAGAGTAATGGTAATGATAATCATGTAAGGGTATATTTAAACGTCTTCTATCACATTAAGGAAGCTCCCACCCCACCATGGCTAAGGCCAAAGGGCGGCACTCAGTTAAGTAATCATTTCTGGAATTATCTCTCACAAAAAAAGTTTTTTTTTCTCGAGAGAAACCAAGTAGTTACATACCTATAGATGGAGATTTGAAAGGGTATTTATCAGGAAGATCCACTCTAACTTTCCATACTCCACCTTCATATGGTGCTGGAATAAAAGTAAAAGATGTTAGAACTGTTGTCTCCAAATTAGAAAATAAATCTGAATGTAAGTTAAACATTAACCCTAATCTTCTCTAACAACCATAATTTAAACTCCTTTCCAGAGTCGGGGACCTACTACAACCCACAGGTACTCCATGTTCAGATTAACATTTTTCTTTAAAAGATCCAGAGTTTAAAAATAAGCAAAAATTCACTCGCTCCTTCAAATTTACTTGATTCTATTTAACATTATTTAATTATTGGTAATAGCCATGGTTCCTTTTTGTCCTACCTCAACCAATCCCATGTGCCTCTCCCACCCATTAAACAAAAAACAACAAAATATACTCCCTAGAAACCACTCATGTGGCCACCATCCATAACAAAACCCAGAATCCGTGATTCATAAAAGAAGAAAGTATAGAAAGTAATTATGAGGAGAGAAAGATTTCTTCAATAGTTCTGGACTTTTCAAAAACTATAGATGCTATTACTACTTGCCTTTGATACCCCCACCACCACCACCAGGGATTGAACTCAGGATGACCTGTGCTTGTGAGGCAGGCATGGCACCACTGAGGTAAATCCCCAGCCTACCTTTCATATTTTTACTGTCTATTAAAGAACAGAGTAATAGTATGAAAGACTGTAATAGAAGGACACATACCAACACATGTACTTACTTCCTTGTGGTCCATAGAACTTCACTACGAATTCATTGAGTCCTCCCAGGATTGTAACTTCATGCTTACTCTCAATGCTAAGGTGGAAGTTAAAGGAAATTACACAGGCCTTCTACTCCCTGGAAAAAATACTGATGAAATCCCCAAGATAGGCCAATTAAAGTGTTACCAAAACTTGATATACCAATAAAATACAAAATTCAGTGGTACCTCTGTTCACAAACTTAATTCATTACATGATTCTGGGGAAATCTGCCACATTCGTGTTTGTGCAAAAAAGATGGCTATGGTCATGTTCGTCACCTGATGCAGAGTTCCCAAAAACCAAAATTGTATCAAATGCTCCTGGATAAGAACCAAACTGTCTGCAAACAAAAGCGTTCATGAACTAAGGTACCACCATATATGTAATTCTAGTAGTTTAGGAAGCAATTTATACTCTTACGAGTAAGGCGAGCTTTGGGTTCAGAGATTAGTGTTCAAATCCCAGGACTGCCACTTACTGGGTATGTGCATCTAGATAAAATAATGTAAATTTGCTCCCCAACCTTTTGTCCTCCCTCTGCCAATTGAGAAAACACTACTTCATGGGATTTCTGTGAAGATTAAATATGGAAAGTTGTTTTAAGACTGCATTTGCCTATATGTAAATAAAAATGGGGCACCTTTAGTTTTTCTTCCTTCTGCATTCTTTCCTCCCCAATCTATTTCCAATAAGCCCTTAATATAAATCCACTATTTCCTTCAGTCAAATTCAAATGCTCAGAAAACACTGATTCTCCTAGGCTACCGTGGCTGACCTTACAGTGGCCTGCCCTGTGTTCCTAGGGGTGTATTTTTTTTTATTTGGCCCAATTTTGCTGTGCAGAGCCAGTTTCTCCCGTACCCTTCACTTTTACTTTTTTTTTTGGTACCAGGGATCGAACTCGGGACCTTGTGCTTGCAAGGCAGGCACTGGAACCACTGAGCTAAATTCCCTGGCCTCTACTTTTACTTTTTATAAACTTTGTCACTGTTAAAAAAAATGATACTCCTAAAATTATGGATTTACTAAAGCAAGGCCCCACAATTTTCTCCTTGGTTTATGGAGTAATCAAGTTGCTGATATAACTTTGTTACAAGCAGACCAAAAACAACAAAAAAATTTTTTTGACACATTCATAACAGGGCTGTAGTCTGCAAGTCTTGCTGTTGGGTGGCTCTGAACCACTGGTGGTACATGCATGACTGTCTCATCTAGCCTGACCATCAGTGGTTCAAGCCGGTGGGAACATGTTAAATCTTACCTGTTGCACTTATTTTCACCTATGTAATATTGCCTTCCCTCTTAAAACTCCATCCCCCTTTGTACTTGTCTCTAGGTTTTGGTATGGTCTGGAACTCTAAACATAGAGCCCACACCTTTTAAAGAGACTCATACACCTTTTAAAGTACTAAGCTTCAATTAAAGAAATCAAATTCATGTGTATTAGTAGTAGAAGAGCTACCAATCGAAACTATGTTCTATGTCTCCACTTCATGATCTAACCCAGTAATGACTCTATGGTAGGAATTTTAGGTTGTAGGGACTTTGGGAAGATCTCAAGTTCACTGAAACACTGAGGTATTTTTTAGTTTTTTGAGACAAGATCTTGGTATTAGTTCAGGCTAGCCTTAAACTCACTATGTAGCCCAGACTGGCCTCAAACTCACAGCAATCCTCCTGCCTCAGCCTTCCGAGTGCTGGGATAACAGGCGTGCGCCACCATGCCCAGCTGAAATATTATTATTATTATTAATTTTTTTTGGTACCGGGGATCGAACTCGGGTCCTTGTGCTTGCGCAGCAGGCGGCGAAACCACTGAGCTAAAATCCCCAGCCCTGCAATATTATTTTTAAAGGTTTGAAATTAAGCATTTAGGCATCTTTCCTTTAGGTCACAGTACAGCCTGCAAGAGACAAGGTGTATTTTGGTAAAGTCCTAGCTGGAGAGTCTTGCATAACATCCATAAGAGATATCAAATAAGATACTTCAGTCTAGGTTAATTTGATCTTATTCTTTTCTAAATGAAAATTAGTTACTTTAATAACAAGCACATTAAAAGGATTCAGATCAAATCCACATAAGAAAACCGGCATTTCTTGCTGGTCAAATGATACACATATGCCTGCTGGCATACTAAATGCTTCCTGACCAATTACCCTCTGAGACTCAAAAAACATTCCAGTTAATACTAACACAATATTTTTTTAAGTATATATGTTTTAAAATTGTAAAAATCTCCCTTGTTTTCAGTGGGGGGGAAAGCTAACTCCAGCTGTAATAAACAATAAAACATTCAAATATAGGAAATGCATATCAAAAGTACGTTGAGATTTCATTTTACCCCAATCAGAATACAAAAACAATAAATGCTGTCCAGGATGCAGGGGATAAAGGAACCCTTCTACACTAGAGTGGGAAATGTAAATTAGTACAGCTTATGTGGAAATAAATATAGAGGTTCCTCAAAAACTAAAAATATAACTACCATTTGATCCAGCTATACAACTCCCTGGTATATACATGAAGGAATTAAAGCATATCACAGGGATACCTAGATCCCCATGTTTACTGCAGCATAATATATAATAGCCAAGGTAGAGAATCAGCATAGGTGCCCATCAACAGATGAATGGATAAAGAAAACGTGGTATAGGGCCGGGGATTTAGCTCAGTGGTTCCGGCGCCTGTCTCACAGGTGCAAGGTCCCAAGTTCGATCCCCAGTACCCCCCCCCAAAAAAGAAAAGAAAATGTGATATATATATATATACACACACACACACACACATACACATATACACACATACACACAAATGGAGTGTTATTCAACCATAAAAAAGAAACATAACTTTGTCATTTGCAGAAAAATGGATCTGAAAATCAGCATATTAAGTGAAACAAGCCAGATCCAGATAGATAAATATCATATTCTCCCTAATACATGAAATTTGAAAAAGATGACAAAAAGGTAGAAGGGATACTATTATTAGATAAGAGGAAGCAAAGAAGGGGGATGAAGAAGGCAGTGTAAGAATGAATAATATGGGCATGAATATGATCAAAATACATTATACATATTGAAAACCACCTCAAACATGTGAAACTGGGGGAAGGTGGCACTAGGGGGATGACAAGGGGGAAATAATTAAAGTACATTATGTGCATGTAACAAATCTGCCCAAATGAAAGCTATTAATTCGTATAGCCAATAAAAACGTGTGTGGGGGATCCCTCAAAAAAAAAAAAAAAGATTTTTCAATAGAAAAGGTCTTCCTAAGAATGAAGGCAAGGCCAAAAACCACAAAAGAAAAAGTAGCAAATAAAAATGTAAGCACATTTAAAACATCTATATTGTAAACAAGAGAAAACAAATTAGGAAAAAAAAATACAGTACAGACCAGTGGTAGTGAACCTATGGTATACATTCTGCAGGAGGCTATTATTATTAAAAACTCTAAAAGGTTCACCAACACTGGCATAGACCCCAAAAATGTGTATTTTGCTGAGGGTATAGTTCAAGTGATAGGGGATGTACTTAGAATGTACAAGGCCCTGGACTCAATATTCAGCACCCTCCAAAAAGTGGGTTTTTGCTGTGCAGAAGCTTTTTTTTTTGTTACTGAGGACTGAACTCGGGACCTTGCGCTTGCAAGGCAGGTGATGGAACTACTGAGCTAAATCCCTGGGCCCCAAAATGTGGATTTTTAAAATAAGGAATTTGGCTTGGAGTGGTGGTGCACATCTATAATCCCAGCACTCAGGAGGCTGAGGCAGGAGATCACCTCCAGTTCAAGATCAGCCTAGGTTGGGCCGAGGATTTAGCTCAGTGGTTTTGCCATCTGCTGCGAAAGTGCAAGGACCCGAGTTCAATCCCCGGTACCAAAAAAAAAAAAAAAAAAAAATCAGCCTAGGCTACACAGTGAGTTTGAGGGCAGCCTGTGTCAAGGGAAAAAAAAAAAAAAAATCCCGAAAAGTAAAACAAAGGTGTTATTTATTACAAAGCAATGGAGGAGAGAGGACACCAGAGGGTGGGACACATCCTAACAAAGAAAAGGCCAAAACAGCCAAATCAAGAAAAGAAAACCAGGATGGGGATGTAGCTCAGGGGTGCCACACATGCCTGGCAAGCACAAGGTCCTGAGTTCAATTTCTGGTACTAGGGGGAAAAAAAGATTAGAAGAAAAGAAAACTGAAATAGAAAAATTAAGGTTCAGAGCTGGGAGTGGTGCCGCACACCTGTAATCCCAGCACTGCAGAGGCTGAGGCAGGAGGATCGCCATGAGTTCAAGGCCAGTCTGAACTACACAGTGAGACCAGACCTTGTCTCAAACCCCGCCCTCCCCCCAATAAAGTTCAACTCAGCTGGGCACTGTAGCACAGCTACTCAGGAGGCTGAGACAGAAGTACTGTTCAATTCAAGCAGCCGGGGATGTATCTCAGTGGTAGAGAGCCTGCATACCATGTGTGAGGCCCTGGGTTCAATCTCCAGCACCAGGGGTGGGTGGAGGTGGGGGTGGGGGTTTAAATCATTAAAGAAGCTTAAAATTGATCTTTTTTTCACTATAAATTGATAAAGATGAAAGAGCTACATAAAAATCTAGTGTTCAGTAAAGTATAAATTTATACTTCTGAGGACAAATCTAGCACTGTTTCAAAACAAAACATTTACTGGGCTGGGCATGGTGGCACATACCTATAATATAAGCACTCTGAAGGCTGAGGCAGTAGGATTGTCAAGAGGCCAGCCTGGGCTACATAATAAGTTCAAGGACAGCTGGAATTACATAGCAAGACCTTGTCTCAAAAAAAATTTTTTTTTTTTTACTCCTATTTATATTTCACTTCTGAAAAACAGCCAGGCCCTGCTGCTGCGAGTGTAGTTATGTTTGCACCCACTATGGAAAACTACTTGGGAGTACGCTACCCCATACCCATAAGTACTATTCAGGGTATATATGCCAAAGACATGTACAGCTATGTTTACCACAACACATATTTAAGAATGTTCATAGCACTATTTGTAATATCCAAAAAGTAGAGAAAACTCAATTGTT